TGTGTGGAAATAAAATAGGTAGATGAAAACCAGGCAGGGTGTAATGAATGCCACTTATTAGCTCTTGATACACAAATATAGAAACTGTATATCACACATGGCACTAGTTCAACCTACCTGTTTCCTGCCCAACTGGATTGCCAAGGAATGACTGAAAAATCTAGTCACTTTTTTAAGCACAGATTTGGCCAGCTACAGTGAGGTATGTATGGAGAGGCTGTCAGCCAGACAGTGTGAATGTGAAGTCTGGCATTCCTAAAATCTTTGTGTCTCTTCTAAATTTACTTTTAGACTTGCAAGTACATATCTTAGTAGGATCCAGTTGGTGTACACATCAGTAGGCTTGCCTTTGCAGTTTCTTGCCTTTCCTTGGGTGGATTTCAGCTATAAATATTTTTTACAAAAACTGGGGAAAGGGCCATTGCCCTCTTCCAATGTAATTTTTCATTCTTCCAATTCTTTCAACATAATAACATAACTGAATATGAAGAATCACTCCTTTCTTTTCTGCTGGTCACTGTGGAAGCTCTTATTTGTCAGTGAAAACTAGACACAGCAGTGTGTCCTCTGGTAACACACAGGTTAGATGGTGAGTTTATTCCAGAGACTCAAATGCCCTCACATCTATGCAAAGTTTGGAGCACTGAGTTCAGGGTGAGACGTCAACTCCTGGCCCTCTATTTGTGACCATGGAGCAGCATCAGACCCCATACTGCAGATGATGGGTCACAGTAACAGCAGGGCTCACTGGCTTTGGGCTACCAACTCTAAATGACAACAAAAGGCATGGCTGCAGCCCATGAACCTGATTTCTGACCTGTTTCCACACAGAAAAATCATTGTAGCTTGTCCACAGAGTTGGTGCCATGGACAGGAAGAGAGGGAACTGGCACTATTGAACAATTTGATTTTTTTTTTTCCCAGTTTGCATGTTTTCACTATTTGTGAAGAGGGATGCTTCCTCCCAACTGGTTCCTGTCTCCCCAGTCATACTGACATTCCTGCCACTGGTTTCCACCTGCCCACACATGCTTTCCGAACAGCCTTCTTACATAAGTCACAGTTGGTCCTGGTTTCAGTGTAAGCAAACAGAAAATGGCTGATCACTACTGGGTTAAAGGAGGCATTATGTGTACTATTTTCTGTTCAGCTGGCAGAAATTTGGAGAAAGAACTTAATGATACAGTAAGAATTGCATCCATCATGGGCAATGTCTCCAGGTGCCAGCTTTCACATCAAGATCAGCTGAATGGAAAGTGTTTTGTACAGGAACTGAAGGGCTTGATCATACAAACAAGCTGCCAAATCAAAATGAGAATGTAACTCCCTGTTCTACATTTAAAATAAAGAAATAGAGAGTGTCAAATTATCTAATTCCAGAACAATAGCAACTGGGAGCTGCTTAATGTTCAGCCTTCAGAGCCATTAACTCTACAGGGACTTGTGCCTTCACAGCTGGCCAAAAAAGTGGCTTGCTTTTTGTGATCTAAAGGAAATGAGGAGCTCAGACTGCAAAACTCACAGAGGTCTTAGTCATAGCAGAAGGACAAGCAGACAGCACAGGGCTAGGTCTTGTTCTCAGGCCAGAATGGATTCAGCTGATGATTTCACAGGCATTTCAATCTTGACATCAACTGAATGACTCATGTCTGATTATGCAGCCATCTCACCAAACTCTATGCCTTGACCTACCTCAAGCCCAGTAGATTGATATGCTGATTCAAAGACATCAAAGACGAGTTTTAAGGCAGGCCTTGTGGCAAGCCAGCAGTAATAGTGCAGTCACCTGAAAGCCAGCACCTGAAAGCCAGCGACCCACACCTATTGAGCAGGGACTCTCCCCCCACCCATCACAGCCCTTGTCTCAATTCTCCTGTGCCGCATGAAAGAGAAGCACTGTCACTGCAGCAGCTGGCAATAATCTATCCCTTCTTTATGTGAACCCATCACTACACACTCCTGACCACTAGGCCAGATAGTAAGCCAGGCACTGTCTGGGATACTATTAACTCCCAGTTCCTCTAGCTTTGTACATTTAGACACTTTTGCACACCTATAAAAATTTTTGCCTCAGCATGCATATGGAGGGCCCGCACTTCCAACAACTAGTTGGCTGTCTCTGACAATATCATCAGTCAGGCTTACTATTTTGCAGACCAAGTGAATAATTGTCCTTTGTATTCCTTCCCACAACTGTTTTGTGCTCCACAGCCAGCACAGGTTCTTGACCTCCTCTCCCAACCCTAAAGGTGAGCTTCCCAACAAGTGTGCCCCACCATCACATAAGAAAAACTGAGGTGAGAAGGGGATCAGAAGGGAAGTACAACCTGATGTCCTTGAGCATGGCAAAAAAGTGCATCTCATACTCAGAGAAAACTAGTCACGCTGTACAGGAGATAAAGGTGTCCACACACCCAGCAAATGCCACAAAAATTGTATTTAAGAAGTAGGGAGCATAAGGCAGCATAGGGTATTTTAACAGTTGACTTACTGCCAGGGAGACACCGCCTAGCAGTAAATGTTAGACAGTTTCAGAGCAATAACTTCTCCTCTTCTCCATGAGTTTGCACAGCCACACCAGCACACATGGACAAGTTGCTACTTCTGCTCTAGAGAAGTGCATGGCTGAAAGAGGTAGGAGTGCTCTAAATCCACTGCAAAGATGTGTGAGGAAAACCACATACTGCCTGTGTATACGCTATCATGCTCAAGCTACTAATCATCCACTCCATGAACAATAGACTTTATACATGGTTTTAACAAAGGAAAGAAAAAAACGATCCAGGTGAAACAAGCTTTCAAGATGCATGACAGGTAAGATCCAGGGTCTATGAAATGAAAGAAAACTAAATACAGGGAGAAACAGCTAATGGAACTGAAGCAAGACATGAGCAAGGGTCATATTTTTCCAAATAGTAATAGAAAGGTCAGTTCTGATGATTGAAGTTTGAACAAAACTATATGAAACATACATATATTATATATGTGTGTGTGTGTGTGTATACATGTGTATACGTATGTATATATTAGTGCATCTTCAGAGTTTGGATTTGTTCGGTTCAACTGGTTCTTTAAGAGGTCAAGAGGTACCAGTCTTTTGGAGGGTTTTGGTTTTCTGGTCTTTTTTAAGAGATAAATAAAGACAAGTGACTTCCTGGAAAAATATTTCATATGTGAATTTGAACAATGTTAGATGTGCACATTGTCAGGCAAAAGAAATATTTATGCAGGACTAATTCCAGTATCCAGAATATTGGTTCACCACATAGATTGCTGAACTCTTTCATCTGTCATCCTAGTTTATGCCAGCAGCTTGAAAAACAAAACAAATCATATTTTTAATAACAAAGGAAACTCTGCTTAAATTAAAACCCCTTGTTAGCATTTAATGTTCAACTAAGTCGAAGAAGGAAGCTGTGGTGAAAGCAAACAAATATGAAATGTGAAGAATTTCACTCCATCTACTCTGAGTAAAAGCTGTTTAGCTGACTGTTAAATTGATTAACAAGAAGATTCAGCTCTCAAGTAAATTAAAACTCCCCCTAATGGCAACGGGATAAAGAACTGAGTTTGAAAAAATGAAAAGAATCTCACTGCATTTGAAATGTATTTTCAGCTAGGCAAAATCTAGTTAGTAAGAATCCTTTTGGAAAAAGAAACTTTAGCCTAGTGCCCAAGATTCTTTTAAATTACCACAAATTTGTTTACATTCCTGACAAAAATTTGTAATGTGTTTTGAAAGATGTGTTATATAAAAAATTTATATATTATGTAAAATGTGTTTTCTCCAATCTGTTTATTGCTTTAACAAAGTGGCTTAGAAAAGTACCCACTACAGACGACTCCTCCCATCCATGAAAAGGGTCCTGCTATTCAGCAATGCCCGCCACTCCTGACAAACACTAAACACTTTCAGAGATACTTAAAGAATCAAAAATTCACGGGCTCAGATTTATTCATAGCAAAATAACCATTTAACCTGTGCAACAAGTGTAATAAAATCAGAAAATACCACATTCTGCTCACAAATACCAAACAAAAATTGTCCTTAGAAAATAATAAAAATTAAGAACAAACCACAGCTCCTTTCAACTGGCTGACCACTGTCTGCAGAATAAAAATTTTAAGGAAGGAAGGTAACCAAGGCATTACCAGTTAGCACTAAATGTGCTGACAGTAACATATAGGGAAAAACTTAGAAAACCATGATTTAGAAATCTTTAAGCTCTATGATAACTGAGAGCTGGTCTTTTTCTACAGTCTTAAGGGCATTTCATGTTCCCAGGTAAATTCTACTGGTTGATCCCCTTTATTTCTGCTATCCCTCCAAAAGGGTGAAGAATTACAAAGCTGAGAGATCAGGACTTGATTTATCATTAGCAGTGATGATTCCATGCCTCATTTTTACAGCCTAAAGATCATTTCAATTACCACTACACAAGAATCTCAGGCTCTTGCTGGTCAAAGGTAAAATGTTTTCAGAAGATAAATATTCTAGGGGGTAGAAATCCAAAGTAAACTTAGTTGAAAATTTAAAAAAAAAAAAAAAAAAAAAAAAAAAAAAAAAAAAAAAAGCAGACCTTTTATTAAAAAAAACAAACTTCTAAAAATGCTGATATTTTGTCCAAAAGCTCACCAGAGCCTTTCTCTTCAAATCCAGTTTAGTAACTCTTCTGCTTTAGTAACAGAAGCTTTTGTAGAGAGGTGTGGAATAAACCAATCTTTTACACTAGCATGCACTCCCCCTTCAGAGTAAGAAAGGCATTTGGAATCTGATCCAAACCTTATTTAAGTTAATAAAGGCATGCGAATCCACACTAGCCTACATGCACTGTTGTTACCTCTTAGTTACTGAAGAAATGACCACTTACCCCACCAAGACAACTAATAAGTACATTGATAATAGCAGATAAGGGAATAAGTATGTTCTGAAAGTAGGGCATACTTGCCTGTGAGATATTCAAGAGAAAATGGAGATCAGGAATACGTCTATGCTTGAGGATAGTCTCATTTTATTGAATGGTTTGAAGGGCTGCTTAAAATAACAACACTTTACAGTCTATATATGCAGTTTCCATTTTAAAAAAATTAAATTATCTTTTCAGAAGACAAAACATGCATATTTATCTATGTCATTTTGAGATAAAAGAAAGAATTACCATTTACAGCAGAAAATCCTCTTTACAAATCTTTTAAGGGGCAAGGCAGGCAGTAGCAATTCTGCAGAAGGCAAGGCATATAAACTCACTATGCTGAAGGTATAGTTTATTTATTGAGAGACATTAGCAACTGCAGAAGAAGGTCGTTTAAGGATGGATTCAACTGAAAATGACAGTGGCTCGGTTGTGGAAAGTCTTGTTGTGGCCTGTTTGGCCCCAGGGAAGTCTTTTGCACATTTGTCCACTGTAAACTTGTGGTTTTGGTTCTCTTTAATGGCACACTCTCTGTATTTCTTATGAGCATCTTCAAAAACCTCCTTCACAAATGATGTTCTCAATTCTGATGATCTGTCAGGAAATGTTTGCTGGAACAGTGACTGAAATGGATTGTATTTGAGCAGTGGAGGGGGCTTGGCACTGTCTTTGCTGATCTTGCTTAATACCTGCTCCTGAGGAGCCAGAGAATCCTTATCAGAAATCTGAGAGAAAGTCCTTTTTGGAGGAGAGAAAGCTGACTTCTCACGAGCTTCCTGAGGATGGCATGGTATCTCATTATGTGGCTGCTGAATGTCTTGCGTGTGGGTCAGAACAAATGAATTTTCCAGTTTTGGAGACATGATGTCATGCTCGGCATTTGGACAGTCCTGGCTTTGTGAGACCTTGGCATCCCAACCTGTCCCAGGTTTGACAGCTTGGACAGTAGTAGCATTCAACAGGCATTGCTGGTAGAGGAGAGCATCGCTAATGGGGCCACATTTTGGCCACACTAAGAACCTAGAAGATAGGGGATACTGCCTGTAGGTAGTAGCTACACTGACATTTGAAGAGATTAGTTCCATATTGCTGGATCCTGAATACTGCATGGTTAGATCAAGGCAGGTTGGCAAAAAATTGCAAAACTCCTTGTTCGGAGTCTCAGCTTGCGTAGTGTTGAAAGCTGTTTTATACTCAGCTCCATGCACCATGCGGTTAGGGAGAAAAAGAGCAGCTGCTTGTGTAGCTTCCATCATCTCTCTCTCTTTATACTCTCTCTCTAGCATAATGTTCTCCAACTCTTTATCAGCAAAAGCCCGTCTCTTTCTCATCCTGTCACTTACAGGGGGTGGTAAGGGTGAATTCCCTCCCAGGTAAGGGTCTGTTGGAATAGGACGGTAACCTAAAACACAAAGCAGCATTAGGAAAGAAGCTGCATAAGAAAAACATTAAAGCTGTGTTTGTAAAAGCACCCTGTTTGGGGACAGTCTTGCCAGGTGCCAAGCACTTGCTACAAACCCTGAACACCATCAGCTCCTACAGATATCATCGGGCCACGGAGGCTTAGCTCCCTGTGCCATCAGGCACATTCAGTACAAGTTCTTCAACACAGACAAGCAAGTCTTGCTCCTCTGCCATGTGTAGTCTGCTTCAAAGCTAGCTGATTAGTAACTGCAAAACCAACTTCAAAACAGCAGACTGAGGGAAAAAAAAGCAAAACCCTGCTGTGTGCTATGACAGAGTTTGCATCATGCAGCTTAATGAGATAACCATCCATTTTTAACAAATATGGAAACTATTCAAATATTTTATTTCTCCTGAACTAGAAGAGAACTTTGATCAAACATAGAAATCCAGTTTCCCATATATTCAGCTACGAGGCTAACTGGATTCACTTAATATGACTGATAGGGTCCAATCCTGTTCACTCTACACAAAAAAAAAGTAATCCCATTCAATTAATGGAACTACTTACATGAGTAAGGAGAACAGGGTTTTTACCTGTTTTCACTCCCATTCCTTTCACACAGGTTTCCCCATTGCCAAGGAAGATATCTATCCCTACAGCTGATGCCTTTTCTATTCTCTAAAGATGAATCACTATGTACACATTGCTACAGATCGTAGAAAATTCCAAGGAGAACTAGGAGAAAAGAAAAAGAAAGTTAAGATAAATTAGAGGAAAGAATATAGAAAAGATTTTTTCTTTTTTTAAAGGGGTGAACTGTAGCCAGAAATAGAGGTTTCTAATAGGATAAAATTTTAAGTGCACAGGCAAAGCAAAGAGCTTTCTATTTTGGAAAAAGAGGGGAAAAAAAGCTAGATTTGAGAATTGTAATGCTTTACAGGGCTGCAGTTTGGAAAGTAATTAAAGCAAACATAGCAATAAATTTGGGCACAATGAGAAGAGGGAGTAGGAAACAAAAGATAAAACTCTCACTAAAATATCCATCTTTAAAATATCATTCTTCCACAGATAGTATTTTCGTCAAGGGAAGGGGGAGGGGGGGGGAAAAAAAAAAAAAGCAAAAAAAAAGCATGCTATTATGCGTATCTTGATATTGATAATGCCACAAACGGTGCTGCTATGTTAGGCGTTCAGAGGAAAAGAAGAAAAAAAAAAAAAAAAAAAAAAAAAAAAAAAAAAAAAAAAAAAAAAAAAAAAAAAAA